GATTCGAACCCGCCACCTTAGGTGTATGTGGCTGGCGCCTTAGCCGCTTGAGCCACAGGCGCCGAGCCAAAACATTTACTCTTTAAAAGAGGGAAGCGATTGAAACCTGAAGCGCACCTGCAGATTCACAAGGTTCATATAGCTAAGGCCTTGTGTCATCAGTTCACAGTAGCTCTCTTCCCCCTAACCATGTTCCCCATTTCAGACTTGGATCCTCTCCATGTCTGGGCTCAGGGCTTGGCTGTGAGTTTATTCAACACATCACGAGTGCTCCTGTGTGCCAGCTGGTATCTTATCACTTTGGATACATCAGGTACAAAGTAGGAGCAGTTACCTTCCCTAGTGAAATCTGGCCTCATAGTAACAGTGGCACCTTTAGGCTTCTGGGCTATAATTAGGACTTAGGTTTTGGTGAATGAGGAGCAGAGGTGGAAAGGGACAGTTGTGATTTTTCCAATCACTCTATTAGTTGTTAGTCAAAGTAGATTGTGAGCAAATAAGAATTCCAGCTCATTCCTTATTTTTTATTTTATTTTTGAGACAGAGTCTCAAGCTGTCGCCCTAGGTAGAGTGCTGTGGCATCACAGCTCATAGCAACCTCAAACCCTTGGGCTTAAACCAGGTATCCTCAAACTATGGCCCACAGGCCACATGCGGCTCGCCGAGGACATTATCTGGTCCGCTGGGTGTTTTTGCTGCCACTGCTTGTCCTGCTTAGCAGCTGACTCGTCCTGGGGCCCGCAGTCCAACCCTCCAGTGGTCTGAGGGACAGTGAACTGGCATAAACAATCCTTTTGCCTCAGCCTCCCAAGCCGCTGGTACTATAGGTGCCTGCCACATCACTTGGCTATTTTGTTGTTGTTGTTGTTATTGTTTGGCGGGCCTGGGCTGGATTCGAACCCGCCAGCTCTGGTGTATGTGGCTGGCGCCCTATCCGCTTGAGCTACAGGCGCTGAGCCTCATTCCTTATTTTAATTTAACCTAAATGTGTGCTAGAATGTTTTAGAATAACATTCTGGTACCTGATTTAATTTTGTTTAAAAATGATTTAAAAATCCTTCAGTGGAATTACACCTTACTCAGTAACCAGTTTTTACAAACAGTACATGGGGTAAAAACTAATCAAAACTACTTTTGAAGCTCTTCAAATTTTGTTTTGCTTATTATCAGCAACTTTAAGGCTACTTGTATTACAGAAGATACATTTTTATCATATTCTTGCATGTAGGCTGTGTTTGTTAAAATAGGTATTGAAAGTGCCCAACAACATGATGATTAAATTGCTCTCGTTGATGTTGATGTAACTAACGGGGAGGTGACACCTTGGTGGCTTCAGTTAGCATAGTGTAAGCTTTCCTGGCTACTGACTTGTTTCTTTTTTGAGACAGGGTGTCAAGCTGTTGTCCTCGGTAGAGTGCAGTGGTATCACAGCTCAAAGCAACCTCAAACTCTTGGGCTTACGTGATGACTCTTTTTGCCTCAGCCTCCCAAGTAGCTGAGACTACAGGCACCTACCACAACGCCTGGCTATTTTTGTTGTTGAAGTTGTCGTCGTTTCAGCTGTCCCGGGCTGGGTTCAAACCCACCAGCCTCAGTGTGTGGCCAGTGCTCTGCCCACTGAGCTACAGGTGCCACTTGACTTCTTTTTTCAAATAAATTTATTCTGTCATGTTGATTTAAGCACAGTCTAAAAAAATCTAATTTTCCCACAAATGGTGTTTTCAGGCCATTAACATAACCAACCCCAAGCCTCAGTCTCAATTTTCCTCATTATCCAAAACAAAATTGGCAATAACTTAGTGTTTGACACCTACTGTCACAGTCTCCCAGCACTGAGCACTCATCTGGCTCGCATTAGGGGCTATGCTGTCTTTTGAAAACATGGGCCTTGGGTGCACGGGACTTGACTCTCAGTGCTAAAGTGTTCCTACTGTAAGAGGCCACGGATGCTGAGCATATTGCAGGCTTTTACATTCACTCATTACATGTCATGAATGCAATAGTACACACTTCCTCTCCCTGGTTATCGAAACTATTTTCCTTTTTTTTGGACAGTTGGTCAGGTAAGTTCATGTAATGCCTTTGTGTTCCTCCCCCTTCATCCAAGCTATTGGGAAGTTGGAGATGAGCGAATAGTGGCCTATTTTATGTATTAGGAATACAAGTAAGACATTTTTCTTGCTTGTAAGACGCTCTGGTACTTATTTATACCTCTTTCATAAGGATGGAGATGACTTCATAGTCTTTAAGGAACAGATTTGCAAAGGGATGCTGGTGTCAATAGAAGTGGCTAGTCTGGGTCAGGTGACGAGTTTTTGGTAGCAAGGTATAAGCAGTTATTAATTAGAAGTTATCAAGAAAACTGAGAAGGATTCTAGGTAGTGTGCTAGGGAGCAACCTAGCATGGGATGTGATGACAGCCACCTTTGAGCAGGTACTTCTGAGGGTACCAACTTGGTGGTGGTTTTTGTTTTTGTTTTTCCTTATTTAATAGAGTTCAGTGGTGCCAGCTGAGCCATGGCTGTTTTGTAAGTGATCTGTTAAAAATAGCCTCCAAGATATTTACGTCACAGAAGTCATGCCACTTTTATGAATTCTACCATAGGAGGCCATCATGAGTTAAAAAGTGTAAACTGGAAGTGACAGTATGAGATGCTTCTTGAATGGAGAGCACGGTTTGAGGCAGTGTTGCCCACTGGGCCCTGGCTTTCCCAGCCTCTGCTCACCCTACCCATGTGAGGTTCACATAAGGGGGCCTGGCCATTTGTTCTACCTGAATCCCACAGGGCCTGACGACCCCTGGTCAGGATTGGGGTGCAATTCTACAATACAAACTTGCTCTAGGTACCATACAAATTCCTCTTATAGCATTTCTCACAACACTTTGAACTTAACTCTTCTCAGTCCAGAGAAATTGGAGAAGAGGAAATGAAATAGTTTTCCACAGTTGAAACATAATGTCAGCCAAAGTGGTTCTGTGCATCCAGATTTCATAATTTACACAACGCTTCCAGTTTTTCCCTGAGATGACTTAGTAAGTCATTTTCGCAGCATTGCTGTTGTAGCAGGGCTTCTCGATCAGAGATGGCATGTGGTCTGTTAATTCAGTGCTTCCACTTCTCGTTAAAATGAGTTCCACTTCCTGAAAGTTCTGTAGTCTTTGAATGTCTTTGTCCTTGATGTGGAAAAGAAATACAACGGTTTGTAAGTAAATAACTTGTGAAGCTATTAAAAAAGGATTAACATGGGCAGGTATCTTGGGTTCTTGCCTAAACTCTGAAGATATTTCTATATTGTGTTTTCTTTCTCTATCCATGGTAACCTGTTAGCAGTTGAGACTAGAGAATGCTAACTTCTCGTTGGATTTTTCTAGAAGAGACTTTAAGGCAAGGTATGGTTTGGTTTACAGAGGGTGGGGGTGTTCTGTTTTTAAGAGCAAGTATCTTGCTCTGTTACCTGGCTGGGGTACAGTGGCATCATCATAGCTTGCTACAACCTTGAATTCCTGGGCTTAAGCAATCCTTCTGCCCACACCTACCTAGCAGCTGGGACTACAGGCATCTCCAGGCATGCAACAGCTTACCAGCTACTTTGTCTAGTTTTTTGTAGATAGTCTATGTTGCCTAGGCTGATGTCAAACTCCTACCTCAGTGATCTTCCCACTTTAGCCTCCAAAGTTCTGGGATTACAGGGTAACCTGCCATACCCAGATGGAACTAGCGTCTAAAGTTGGGGTAGTCACTTAACCATTCAGAGGCTTTTAAAGGGTTTATGGATTGGGTGTGCAAATCTCTAAAAGCACCAGATTGAAAATGACCTAGCTACTATATTTGGCCATTTTGCAGTCAGAATTTCCAGTGTCTTTTAATTTTGTTTTCATATAGGAAATGCAAGAGTTAAATGATTGGTTCCACAGAACATAATTTTACCCACCAAAATTCTGCATTTAGAAGCTTAACGACCCTACCTTTCTGAGCAGTGTGTTTGGTAGTTTTCTGATCTTCTCCACTTGCTCTGGGTTAATCCCCAGTTCGCAGCAACTTACTTTCAGTAGGTTTTGATAACTCAGCTCTTGTCTTTTCAGTTCAATTTCAATGAAGTCATTTTCTTTGAGGTTCTGAATTCTGACTTTAAGTACCAGCTCTAGATTATCCATAAATTCAAATATGTTTTGTAAAAAAAGAAATACTCATTAAAGATCTTCAGCATTATATAGCATAGATAATCCCAAAATCTGAGCAATTTTCCTAAGTAAATGTAGAGCTTTGGAAGAATACATGTACATTTTTCATTAGCTGAGGCTTCTTGGAGTCCTGGGCAAGCTGTAGGATGTCTGCCCCAGTGAATCCAATAAACAGCTTGCATTTTGAAGCCTGCCAAGGATTTAAAATAAACTACACAGTGGACATTTAAATGCATTACCTCTAGGCAAGTCATAGCAGTTGTTTATACCTTGCCAGTTATCTGGAAGCTTCAAGGGATATCTGCATGGCCTTGGGCCCTTATGTAAGTCACCCCAGCAGTGAGAGAGGTGGACTCTGAGAAATAAGGTAATGCACTTATCTTTTCAGATAATGGCATTGAGTGCGAGTCTAACAACTGTCCTGAGAAGGAGCAGTATGGACTAAGGATCCATTTGGAGGATACCAAAATTTGAAGTTTGGGTTCACAACATGGTCTAGGGGCTGAATCCTCACTTAGACAGATATCGTCAGGTTTGGCATTATCACCTGGGTCAGTCGACAAGTGTGGATTTGTGCCTTCTTGTTTATATTCACCTGGGAAAGAATTGAGAAAGTTGAGAAGCAGCAGCGCCTCAGTGTCTGGCTCTGTGCCATGCAAAAGACAATGATGCCCACCTTCTCTTTAGGGAAAAAGCAAGTCAGGAAAGGGCAGCAATTATTTTCCGTCTGGAAGAGCAATCTTCTTTATCATGAAAAGGAGCGGAGACAGTATTTTTAAATGCTGTGTGATCCGGGGAAGAAATATTTATAATCTGTGGTCAGCTCACGTCTCTGCTTAAATATTTTCAGCTCCCTGTGCTTTGTGTCTTCAGTTGTCTCGCAGAGTTACACGGTTAGAAAGCTCCCTTTATACGGAGAAATTTTCTCACCCAGACGATGGGAAGGGAGTGAATATTTACAGAGCACTTAGCATATGCCAGGCTTTTTATACCTCTGTTTCTTAAAATACCCACTGGACACACGTTGGAAACCTCTGCACCAGGCACTGGGGGAAATGATCCAAAAACCCCAAAGAAGTCTATCCTGGAATTTATAGGCCAGTGGAGGAGACATGTTAGTAAGTGGGAAATGACAACCGTGGCAGGTGTGAAGGTGAAGTACACAGTGGCATGAAAGCACGTAAAGGGGTCAAGGAAAGCTTCCCTGAAGGTTGGTGAGGATGAAGCAGCTCAACTAGGTCCAGAGGGAGAAGAGCTTTCCACAGGGCAGGAACAGTGTCAGCAGACACCCTGTAGGAGGGACAGTGAGATGAGGTGGGAATATGAGTGGTAGCTCTGTGCTGTCCACTGAGGTAGTCCTTGGTAACGTGACATGAGACAGGCTCTAACTGGGTTTCAAAGGCAGTAGGAAAAAGTGTCTCATTTTTCATACCAATTATATATTGATACATTGCGTGAAGTATATTAGGAACATTGATTTCACCTATTTTTAAAATGTGGCTACTACACACATATGTGGCTTGCATTACATTTCTGGACGTGACTGGTCTAGAGGAAAGGTTTTGGTCTTTATCCTAGACTGCCCAGCCATTATTCTTTAGCAGGACGCTGTCATAATGAGACTTGCATTTTGGAAAAGGAAAAAACAAAAACCCTCACTCTCCTCAATCCTATGAGGTGTGGACGTTGTTATTTCCTTTTTCAGATAAGAAAATTGAGGCTGAAGGTGAAGTGACTTGCTCAAGTTAGTTAATGGTGGGACCTGGATGTGACCAGGGCTGGCTACACTGTGGAGCCGAGTGCAAAAGGAAAATAAGGATGAAGATAATCTCCCCCAGGGCAGATGGTGCCCCCCAAGGGATTTCGACCTCCCCACCTGACCTTGCCAGCTACCTGGATGGGGTGGGCGAGAGGTCCCCACTCCTTCCCTGCAGTTGCCCTCAGCATGCTGTGGCACTGTGCACCCATCACAGCAATGAGGAACTGTGGCGGAGGGTTGCCGCAGTGGTGGGACTGGTCTGGGTGTGAAGACCATATGCATGAGCAGAAGCTCCAACTCCCAACCCCAGGCATGTGCTCCATCGTCCCATCTGAGTCCACTTACAGAACAAATCCAAAGCCAAAATTATGACACATTTCAAGTCAGCGACCTCAGAACAAGCCTGAGACAATCGCATTGATCAGAGGCTCATGAAGTCAGGCCGGCTTGTGCCACCCTGCCAAATGCTTTCCCAGAAATGAGACCATCCATCTAAATCAGTCCCCTCCCAGGATAGGAATAATGTCCCTTGCCCTAGTTCTCAGGGACCTGCAGAGATCTTTGTCCTTCAACTCCCAGCCCTCCAAGTGGCTCAGCGCTGTGGCCCCTCTCCTAGGCCACCCCTGGGATATCCTAGGCCCAGCCCTCCTGGGATGCCAGTACCAGACCTGAAACGAGGCCCTCCTGCCTCCGTTAACCAACACTCAGCACCAGAATTTTCCCAGCCTTGTTCACCAAATTCAAAAGCAGTTTACTCTCCAATTAGTATGTCAGATCCCTCTGTGGATGGACAGGGCCTCGTAGGGCAGAAAGCAGGCCTTTAAAGACAGGCAGATGTGGACCTGAATCTTTCCTCTGACATTTAGCAGCAGTGATACATTGGGCAAGTTGGGTAACTTCTCTGATCTAGAAAATGGGGTTAGTAAGGTCTGCCTCACAGGACTGGAAGACATGAGAAGGTGCAGGGAAGGCCTGACTACTCCCGGCATAGCAAACGCCGGGAATTGCTCCCCACTCTTAACATTATAGCGACTGGTACTTGCTTCTCCCTGAAAGGACCCCAGGTCCAGTAGCTCTGCTCTTGACTACACCACACTGCAAAGTAGGGGAGCCACGGACCCTGCTGGCCACAAGGGTACCAGCCTTCCCCAGCCGCACTCCACCCTCCTTTGAGGACTGTGTTGGGAACAGGGCCTCCAGACTCACCTGCCAGCTTCTCCCCAACATCCTGTTCAGTTTCAGCCATGGGTCAGCTCTGTAGTCAGCAGCTCCACTCGCCTTTACACACAAGCTCCCAACCAAATAAGCACTTTCTAAAGCCTCGGCACAACCAGCTGCAGTGAAACAGTATGTTCTTGTCATCAGTGCTGTAGGATAGGGCAGGGACATTTTTATTATTCATAGATAAGTGACCTGAGGTGTACTGCAAGCCTTGTGCGGGAAGGTCCTGAACTTCAAGGTTTTTTACTCAAAGTGTGTTCACTGGTAGGGGAGCCTGAGCGGTACAGCCAGGCCCTAGGTGGGGATCAGGCCCTCCTTGGAAAGGTTAGCAGCTACTACATAAGGGGCTAGAAAAACCAAACCATTTCTGGAACTGAACAGACTCCCTTTCGTCTCCAATTCTCTCTCCCTTTTCTCCCAACCCCTTCCTCCACAGTTGTGCGTGACAGGAGGCAGGAAGACCCTGGCCATACCTGGGGAGGCTGCCTTGGTGAGGATCCTGGATTCTTGATCCTAAACATCAAAATGGAACGGGCATGGGCTGGACTAGAAGGTTCAACAAGGGTTGGGTGGGGCTGGTCAAAGTCCTTGGTCTATAGGGCTGCCTGGGAAGATAGGAAAAGGTATAGGGACCCAGATGTTCCAGTGACTCTCATGTTTCATTTAACCCTCTAGTGACAGAAGACCTCAGTGTGAAAGTGCTGGAGGGAGCCATGGAGATGACAGCCCACAGGCTTTCAAACTTGGCTGTGTGTTGCAATAACCTGGGAAATTTTAAAAACTGTGGGGTACCTAGGTCCCACTCGACAGAGACTGATTTAGTTGGTCTGGAGTGCAGTATGGGCCCTGGAACTTTTTACAAGGTCCCCAGCTGATTTTAATGTTCAGTCAGGAAGGTTAAGAAATACTGATATGGGGCGGCGCCTGCGGCTCAGTGCGTAGGGCGTGGGTCCCATAACTGAGGGTGGCGGGTTCAAACCAGACCCCAGCCAAACTGTAAACAAAAAAATAGCCGGGTGTTGTGGTGGGCGCCTGTCGGTCGTCCCAGCTACTCGGGAGTCTGAGGGAGGAGAATCACCTAAGCCCAGGAGTTCGAGGTTGCTGTGAGCTGTGATGCCACAGCACTCTGCCGAGGGTGATAAAGTAAGACTCTGTCTCTTCAAAAAAAAAAAAAGGAAAGAAAAGAAATCCTGATATGGCCAAACTGCTTAAGGAGCAAATGGGGAGACTGAGGCCTAAGGAAGTGAAATGCTTACCGAAAGTCACATGGCCATCCCAGCACAGGCCTGGCATGAGCCCTGGGTCACTTGGCTGCCAGGCTGACAATGATGCCGTCTTCCTACAAGGAATGGAGGCAGGTGAGGCAGCAGAGAGGAGGAAGTAGCAGGGACCTGCTGACCTGGCTGCCTGAAAATAGGAAAGAAAGCAGACTTTGGCCAGCCTGGCTGCCAGGTGTGGTCAGCCATAAAAAGAGGCATCCAGAACCTCTGGCCTGAGTGGGTGGGGCCCTGGAGCTGCCAGGACCAACTGTTGGCCCTCGGAGGGGGCCTCAGCACACTGCCACTTCCCTCACCGGCTCTGTCCGTTCACTCACTCCCCTGTTCACTGACTCCCTGATTCATTCATTCACACGTTCACTGCACAACATTCACTTTTTTCTTGTTTGAGGACACTCTTTTAAAATTAATTTTAATTTTCTAAATCAAATATTAAAAAATCAAATGGTACTAAAAGCCAGGGCCCATTTTACAAGGAAAAAGGCAAGGTGCTTGCTGGGGAGTCAGTTGACTGCCACTCAGGCTTTGGCGTGTGAGAGTCTTTTCTCATTATGCTGGGCCCTTAGTGGGCCTTTTTGTGCATTAGCTTTTTTGTTTGTTTGAGATAGAGTCTCTCTCTGTCACCCTGGGTAGAGTGCCATCTCGTCCCTCACAGCAACCTCAAACCCCTGGGCTCAAGATGATCCTCTTGCCTCAGCCTCCAGAGTTAAGAGTAGCTGGGACTACAGGTGCCCACCACAATGCCCATTTTCTTTCTTTTTTTTTTTTTTTTAGGAGACATGGGGTCTTGCTCTTGCGCAAGCTGGTCTAGAACTCCTGACCTCAGCCTCCCAGAGTGCTGGGATTACAGGCGTGAGCCACCAGGCCCAGACTGTGCGTTAGATTTTGTATGTATGCCTATGGGGGCAGTTTTTCATTTGTTTATAGTTTCAGATTTATAAAATGTTAGAAGAACATGCCTTATGCCTTTTACCAATTCATAACATTTTGCCACATTTACTTTCTCTCTCTCTTTCTTTGTGTGTATATATGTATGTGAATGTATAACACACACATCTCCCCCATCCCAAACCATTTCGGTGTAAGTTATAGACACGATGCTCCTTTACCAGTAAAAATCTCAAACTGTATTTTCTAATATCAAGTATATCCTTGGCTCGGCGCCTATAGCTCAACCAGCTAAGGCGCCAGCCACGTACACCTAAGGTGGCAGGTTCAAATCCCCAGCCCGGGCCCACCAAACAACAATGATGGCTGCAACCAAAAAATGGCCAGGCACTGTGGCGGGCGCCTGTGGTCCAGCTACTTGGGAGGCAGAGGCAGGAGACTCGCTTGAGCCCAGGAGTTGGAGGTTGCTGTGAGCTGTAATGCCACGGCACTCTACCCAGGGGGACAGCTTGAGGCTCTGTCTCAAAAAAAAAAAAAAGTATATCCTTTACATAGCCAAGATATAATGATGAAAATCAGGAAATCTGACATTGACGTCTACCATTGGCTCAACCACACTGTCCATACTCACATTTCATCAATTAGTCCAACAATATCCTTTTTTAGCTTTTTTTTTTTTCTGGTCCAAGATACCATTCAGAATCATGCCTTGCATTTAATTTTTATGTCTTTTTGATTTCTTTAATCTGGTACAGTTCTTCACCCTTTGTTTCTCATGACCTTGAAATTTTTGAAGAGTCCCAGCCAGCAATTCTGTTGGTTTTCCTTCAGTAGCTTTCGTCTGATGTTTCCTCACGATTACGTTTAGATCAAGCCTTGTGGTCAGGAATAACAAGTGATTTGGGGTCTGTCTTGGTGCGTGTATCAGGAGGCACGTGGGTTTGTCTCATGGTGGGATGGTGACTTTAATCTCTTGTGTGAGGTGGTCACTCTCAGCCTTTCCCACTGCAAAGTTAGTCTTTTCCCCTTTGTAATTAATAAGCTAATGTGTAATTTGTGGGGAGATATGTGAGACCACATAGATATCCCATTCCTCCCCCAAGCTTTACCCTTTAGCTTTAGGCACCCATGGATGATTTTGGCCTTGAATCAATTGTTACTGTGATGATGACAGAAGGGTGATTTTCTAATTAATTATTCAGCAGTGTACTGTAAGAAAGAATTTTCCTTCTCATTCATTCATTTATTCACTTATCAGAATGGATTTATGGATTCTTATTTTATTCAAAGAGTCATAATCCATCATCACCATTATTTTGATGCTTAACTTGTCCCGACTATATTCAGTACTTTATCCTTACAGCTGTTTCCCATATCTTTTGACATATCCCCTCCATTTTATCAGCATTTTCCTATTTTCTGGCCTATCAAGATGCTCTGGCCCAGCCCAAATCAGGCATTTCTCCAAGAAGCCTGGTTCTTTTTGGTAAGAAACAGATGTGATCACTCACGGAGATGACACTACCTCTAGGCTCTTTGAGTGTACAGAGCTAGGAATGCATACACGCAGGTGCACACACACGCCGAAACACATATGTCTACTTCTGTATTTTAAAATCAATCTTTCTTATTTTTCCTGTTTGTGCGCATGTATTTAAGGCCACACAGTGACACTTCTTCCAGTTCCATGTGATACCACAGGGCTCTCCCTAGCTTGCAAGCTCGCTTTCCTTTCCTATTTCCTGCCCTCTCTCCCTCTTTCTTTCTCTCTCCTCTCCCTCCCTTCTTTCTTTTTTTTTCTATTTTTACATACCAGAAATTTATTCCTTCACAGAGGCTAAAAAACCAAGGTCAAGATCTTGGTAAGTCAGGTTTCTTCCGGAGGCTCGGAGGGAGAGAATTTGTTTAATCTCTCTCTCCTATTCTGGTGGCTGCCGACATCCCCGGTGTTCCTGGGCCTACCTTTCTTTAATTCCATTCCGTAACTCTCTTCTCTAGCAGCAGGAAATCTGGCTCCTAACATCTTTCATACATACACTTTTTGCTCAACTCTATAATACACAGAAAGGCGTTTCAGAATTGCTCATTCGAAGTACAGTTGGCGTCATTGTTTCTATCTGTATATTAGGATTCTTCCCAATCCCTGTTGATTTATTATTTTTGGAGCATATACATAAAACATTAACATGGCTCTGTAGATAGACTCAGAGCCACATGAACATTGATTTTTGTTTTGTTTTTTCCCAAGGTCCATCACTTCAGAATGAACATTGATACTCTGTAGTTTTCGGAGTGTCACTGAACCCCTCCACCTGATCCATTTTGTTCCCATCTGCTCCCAGTAGGAAACTAATATCGTTAGTTTCTGGCTTATACTTCTTATATTTATACTTTACAAAATTAAACAGATAAATGTGTATTATCTTATTATTTCCTTCATACAGAAAAGATACTACATGTTCTTTTTCTGCTTTGCTTTTTTCCCTAGACCGTATACTTTAAAAATCATTCCATATCAGCTTATAGAGACCTTTCTCTCTCCCCTCCCCAATAGTGTAGGTATTCTGTAGGTTCTTCTCCAAACAACATGTGTAAAGGCATTTAGTATGTTTTTGATATTTTGTAATTATAAGTAATGCTCCATTGATAATCTTGTGCCTATGTATTTTTTGTTATTGTTGGAGGTGTATTTTCTGGGTAAGTTCCTAGAAGTACGTTGGTGAGTCAAAAAACAAACATAGCTGGGCACGGTGGCTCATGTGTGTAATCTCAGCACTCTGGGAGGCTGAGGTGGGTGGATTGCCTGAGTTCAGGAGTTCAAGACCAGCCTGAGTAAGAGTGAGGCCCCGTCTCTAAAATA